AGACAGTGGAACCCTCCTGTGAGGAGACAAACGGATGCTGGATAATGCTCTTTTCACTCCAGACTCCGACCCAAGGGGACTCCCACCACTGACTTCTCGTATATTGTTTGATATTGTTAGAAAGGTGACTAATGGCGGATACTTGGAAACGACAGAAGTCTTCAGACGCCGTGCTCAGATAGTAATAAAACCATACAGCGCTAAAGAGTCCGTTCCGAATTAAAAGGATCATTGAAGCAAGTCATGGGCAGCGAGTCCTACACGACTCTCATTGAGGCAGACGCGAGGCGGGGGGGGGGGGGGGGGGGGGTGCAGAAGCCACAGCTGCCAAGCCGGCAAAACAAAGACAAGGAGCCATGAAGACGCCGCCAACTTCTAGTTTTCCTATTCCTTCTATTTTAGCTTCCCTATTCGATCTATTTAAACTATTTCATCCCTTTTTTTACAATTTCCCATTACACGAACGGCCATTATTTCCATTCCGAGCGAAAATTATACTCCTATTTTCTGCCACGAGATTTTTGTTTAGTTTTTTTTTTTTTCAGTCCGAGTTTGCAGATAGTCCGGAGCTAGAAAGGGGCAGCAGGAAAAGTTTAAAAACACACCATGCAGTACACATCAAAACAAAAGTTCCAGGTTCGGCCGATGACGTTTCCAGGACCCACTGTGCGTACACAACACAGGGCGCAGCGCGCACCCCCACAGACAGCAGACACTGCTGGCATTCAGTTTCTCAAAAGCCTAACAAAAACAAATCACACCCGCCTGTCCGGAGAGGCGACGTGCCGAAGCCCGGCAGTTGCCGACCAAAAGTTGGCGTGTTGTGGCGGGCCGCTCACAGCCGACACGAACACAGACATCCACGGCGTGTGGAGACTCGGACACCGGCAACAGCACGCGCCCAGCCTGAACGGCCTGAACGAGCACGACGACGACGAGCACACAGTGTGCCACACACACCACGGCACTTCACTCACTCACAGGCCGCGCCAATCGCCTCGAAAGCCGACTCCGTCCGCCGTACTGTGGCCGCCGTTCCCCGAACCGAACGGTGCGAACCTGTGTTGACTCTGACTCAGCCCAGCGGCCCACCGGTAGGCGGCCCAGGCGGCAGACGACGCGGCGCCACTGTCGGCCTGTTGGCCAGGGCTTGTCCAGGGCCTTGGCCAGGGCTGGCACGCGTAAGCCGGAGCCCTTTCACGAAAACGAGATCAGCGGCCGGCAGAGCCAGACCTCAGAAGGGCCCTACCCTACAGTGGAGCTCCCGAGAGGAGTTAGATCCCGGGCGCCACGAACTCACGGCGCGAGGGGTGCGCTTTAGCTTGATACTGTACCTCCGGCGAGAGCTCCAAGGGTGGCAGGTACGCGTGTAGCCGCCCCATTCACCGGACGGCTGGCCCTGCAGAAGCAAGCGCAGCAAGCGCTGTGGCCGTGGCGACGGTGGCCGCTCCCTCGGTGTCCTCGTCCTCGTCCTCGCCGCCTCGTCCACCGGCAGCCCGGAGCGCCTCGTTCTCGGGGTTGGTACACCTGCCGGCCTGGCGGCTGCTGGCGGCGCGCGCGGCAAGCTCCGAAGTTCCAAGTGGTGCGGCGCGCTGCGCGTCGTCTGCTACCGCCTTGGGCTGGACGTCGTCTGCACGGGCTCTGCGGGCTGCAGCGGCTCCGGGGCGGGGCCGGCGGGGCTGGCGGGGCGCGGCTCGTCCGGGAGGCCGTCTAGGCGGACGGGGCCGGGCGGACGAGGTGGACAGGGGCAGGCGGCGCGGACCGGTGCCACGGTGCCAGCACGTGGGCCTGGACGGCCTGGTCGGGGCGCAGCGGGGCGGGGTGGGGCCTCCGTGTCACACCGCACGGGGACGCGGCACTCGGACTGGTCTGCCAAACGCCCGATGTCCGACTGAGGCGTGCCGAGGCGTGCCGAGGCGTGGCGTGGACACGGTCGCGTATGTTTGCATTCGGGAGAATGATTGAACCGCTGCTTTGCCGCCAATGGACGCCTGCCTCCCCCTTCCCCGCCTGCCCCCCGCCCTGATCGAGACGACTGCCTCCTTACCCCTCCTCCAGACCCGCCGCACCCCGCCCCGCCCCGCCCCGCCCCGCCCCGCCCGCGTCTGCACTGATTGGCAATGCATTGCAGTCGTGCCCATGCCCCCTGCCGGCGCGCCGCGACGCCGCCACGCCACGCGGGGTGAGCGGTGGCAAAATGTGGCAAATTTATGGGCACGTTAGCGCCGGCCGACGACGCCGTCGACGCGGTCCCTTTCGGTGGCCGTCATTGGCTGGCGCAAAACAAACGTCCTTCTTCCAGTTTGGCTCCCTCGGCCCTTCGCTGCCCGCGCTGCCCTTGCCCGGCCGAGGCTGCGGCCGGCTGCGCTACGCGGCTGTACGCCCCGCCCCATCGTCACAGGCGGCGCGGCCACGCGGTGGCGCGCAGATCTATTTCCAATCGTTTTTGGCCGGTCGGATTGCGCGATGCCGCGAAGCGCGGCCAAATTTGGCTTTTCGGCGCCGCGCCGCGCGTGACCGTGTTAACTGGAATAAATGATGACTGGCGAGGGCTGTGCGCTGTGGCGCCTCGGTGACGGAGTGACGGATGGGATGCATCGGAGGATGGGATGCATTGGCGGGTGGCGGTCCAGTGGCGGGCCCACAGGGTGGCCCTTGCATCTCAGCGCTGTGGAGTCAGACACGCCTGCCGTGGCGGAATGCCCGGAACGCCGAGGGAATTCCCCCGCCGAACTGGCTCACCTGGTGTACAGTGTCGAGGAGAGCGAAGATCAGAAACTAAGTTCGCGTCGTGCCCCGTCCCCCGGAGTTCCGTGGCGGTAACAAAGTGTGCCTGGCGCGCTGACGTCTTTGCCAGGCTATAGCCTGGCTGTAGCCTGGCTCGGTCGCGCTTTTTCCGGCACCGCCTGCCCCGCGTCTTTGCGGTCGAGACACTCGAAAAACCAGAATGGAGCCACGCCGCGTGGCACGCCGCGTGGCGAGCGCCTGTCTACCCGTTGACCCCAGAGCCCAGGCAAGGTCACGGCCGCATAAGCAGGGTCCTTGACGTCTGTCCGGGCCGCAGCGCCGCGCAGCGCGAAGCGCGCAGCCTCCAGCCCGTAGCGTACGGCGTGACGGCGTGACGCGTGCCGTGGCGGGGGGCGCGGCGATGGAGTGCACTGCGCCCGCCCCACCTGCAGACTCGCGCCGGCCGGCACGTGCCGGTCACACGAGCAGCGCAAATCCTCCTTGCGCGGGGCGGCGGGGCGGCGAGGAAGGGGAGACGTCGGCCGAGGGGTGCATCGTGTGACGCCGCGGGGACTTTACACGCGGAGACGGCCACCCATCTGGCGGCGGTCGTCGCGGCCCGCCCCGCCCCACCATTAAACGTGATGAGGCAGTAAAGGCGCGGGTGCCAATTTCTGCGGCCCGCGAATAAAACAACATCGCGCTCGGCGTTATTATTTGCCAGAGCGAATGAGCGAGCGAGTGAGTGGGGCGGCCGCAAACATACCCTGTTGAGGCCGAGGCGCCTGGCGCCACCGCGGCACGACAACACCGAATCCAAATCGTTTGATTTCCGAACAGCAGCCTCAGCTTCCGTTTCCGGCGGCATGGACTCTCTTTTGCTATCTCACTTTTCGACAGGTAGTGTCGACCCACTAGCCAATATTCTACCACTTTCTCTTGTTCCATTCATTGGCGGGCCAAGACCGATTTTCCCTGACCGATCGTGCACGTTTCGGCACCGCGCCACACTCGTCCTGCTCCACCCGTTTCCAGAAGTCTGCCGTCGACTCGTGTCCCGCAGCCCCGCCCCGCCCCGCCCTCTGCTCATTGACTGCAATTATGAACCGGCCTTCGAATTGAACTTGGCGGAACGCGGCGAGCGCGGCGCAGGGCGCGGATGGCCAGGGCCCGCCCAGCCGCCCAGCCCCGCCCTTCGTCCTTCCTGCGTCGCCCGCCCGAAGTGAGGAAATAAGTCTGACTCGAGCAGCGCCCAGCACTCCCTGCATCTCTTGCCATCGGTCATGGAAGGGCGAAGAGCGCACACCTTACGTTGTTCTATTTGGTAGGTGAGGTTAGGTGAGGTTAGGTTAGGTTAGGTTCGACTGCCTTCGACCACAGTGCAGTGGTGCGGTGCGCCTAGATGGCCTAGAGGCTCGGCCGGCGTACTTGTGCGGTTATTGTTGGACTGCGAAGGTTCTGGTTTGGTCTGGATCGGAGACGACGGCGTATTCCATGGAGAGGGGAAAGGGACAGGCGTGCACGGTGTCCCTGGGACCGACTGGGACAGACCCTAGGACAGCGTCCCTGTCCGCGACACTGCCGGCACACACGGAGAGCACGGAGCGCGGGGCAGGTCGCGCAAAGATAGAATGGGCTGTATGACCAATTCAGTCTCTGCGTTATGACTCGTCAACAAGGCCCTCCAAGGGGAACGCCTTGGAACGGCAACTTTCGTGGACCAGCTTTCTACGCGTCAGAATACTGCGTGGCTTTGAAGCAGTACTTAATAGTTGGAAGTTGAAATTCAAGGCTTTTTCAATACAGAATCAAAGTCGGTCCTTTGGTTAGGTTCGTTTATCTGGTGATAAATAGGAAAATTCGGGAAAATTAGTTCAAACTTTTCGTTGTGAACTGAGTTTGTTGTGCATCATTGTGGGGTGGTCGAGAAGTGGAAGAGGAAATGGTAGTTGAAAATTCTGCTCCAGCTACAAGTTAACTAGAATGAAGGCATCCTGGCTTCGCTGGCTTTGATGTGACGATTGTGCAGGGGCAGCGGGAGCGGGCCTGCTTGAATGGTATCTGGTGCCGCGCCTAAAATGGAGCGCTCCCATTGGCCGACGCAGCACCACATAGCTCAACGGCTGTTCTGTCCGATCTAGCGCCAGTTTGTGAAAGGCAGAATCGTGGGAAAAAACAACTGTTTTTGATTCAGATTTGCACTAAATATTATTTCCAATGTCCCGCAATATTCTTAAATCTGCAGACCCGCCCTCTCCCCCACCCCCACCCCCTCCGCCTCCGCCTCCCAACAACAACAATGGCGCCTATGTTTACATTTTTACTGAGACTAATTTTCCTATTATTTTCAATTTTCTTGAATTATGGTTGTAGTTTCGACATCGACGTTTCGAAAACTCGAGTATGGGGACCGGGTTTGCATCCTGAGACAATTGTTCTTCCTGCTCGTTACTTCTTTATTCACCCTGTTGACAAGAACAACGTAAGGTAAGTTCATTCATTCAGTTTTAGGTTATCGGTCCGTTAAACCGGCAAATCTTGAATTTTTTAAAATTAATTTTTATATGTGGTTGGTGTTAACAGTTTAGAGCAATCTCCTGGGGATGTCTTTAAGGTCAAAATACTTGGGAAGTCTTCCACCGGACAACTTGTCAATGGTCGAGCCTCAATTCAAGTTTTGGACCGCAAAGATGGCTCATTTATTGTGCGCTACAAACTGCATGATTCTGTTCGAGACCTAGAAATCCATATTCAGTACAACGACAGACATGTCGCAGGATCTCCATTCCAGACTCAAGGTTAGAAGAAAGAATGTTAGCTTGCGACATTGGTGCAATGCATGTACGTAACATGTATAAATCGGCCTTTACATTTTTCCATCAGGTGTCTCATTTGCTGAAGAATGTGACTGCCCAAAGAACAAGTTAACAGAGTGGCTGGAAGACATGGAGTGCCCCATGTATGACCAAATTAATCAGGATTTGAAACCATTTCGGAGGGTGATGTTTAGCAAGCTGTATCCTGTATTCATAGAACGGTTCAATCAGCCGGAAAGTATGAGCTTGTGCAACTATATACTGAAAGATAACAAGGTACAATGAAAATAAACAAGAATTCCTCAAATTTTTTATTTGTTTTAATACACATTTTCTCAGTTATCTCTAATTTTGTACTGTTTTCTTGTTTAATATAGATTTTCCGGAGATGCTTTGGCAAACATGTTGGATTTAAGATGTTCATCGATGCTATACTTCTGTCTCTAGCTCGGAAAACATGTCTCCCAGACATGGAAATTTTTTTTAATTTGGGAGATTGGCCGCTTTCACCTAGTGCTGGAAGACCTTTACTTCCTTTGTTTTCTTGGTGTGGTTCTGACGATACTGTTGATATTCATCTGCCAACTTATGATATAACCGAATCTAGTCTACAGTGTATGGGCAGGTAATTCACAATTACTGTAATAGCAAAATACATTAATGTCTAAAATATTTTACCATTTGATTCTCCTTTATTCTCTCTTTTTAGGGTGATGCTAGATATGCTGTCTGTACAGACTAGTGTGGACCGACCATGGGATGACAGGGAGCCAAAGGCATTTTGGAGAGGCAGGGATTCCAGAAGAGAGCGGTTGCGCCTAGTAGAACTGTCAAGAAAACACCCCGAACTCTTGAATGCTTCTCTCACTAATTTCTTCTTTTATCGGAGTGAAGAAGAAATTTATGGTCCAAAGGAAAAGCATGTTTCATTCTTCAAGTTCTTTGACGTAAGTCTGCTACAAATTTTTAGATCATTCTTTTCCCTTATTTTTTGTTCTTCTCTAATTTCTCTGTATTTTCTCAGTATAAATATCAAATTAATGTGGATGGCACTGTAGCTGCATACCGTTTCCCTTATCTTTTGGGTGGAGGGTCCATGGTGATAAAACAAGATTCCAAATACCATGAGCACTTCTATGGTTTGGTTAAGCCTTGGCAGCACTATGTGCCTGTTAAACATGACTTGTCTGATTTGATAGAGCGCATACGTTGGGCTCACGACAATGATGTAGAAGCAAAGAAAATTGCACAAGCAGGCCAAAAGTTTGCTCAAGAAAACTTGATGCCAAAAGACATATTCTGTTACCATGGCAGACTGTTGCAGGTAAGTTTCATTTCAGTACCTCTATTTGGTTTCAGTTCCTGAATTGCAATAAATTTATCATTTTGGTATGTACATGTGTAGGAGTGGACCAAGAGACTTGTTGATCCTGTTGAAGTTAGACCAGAGATGGAAATGGTTCCACAACCATCAGACTCTGCAAAATGTAACTGTGAAAGATCCACTGTCCAAGTAAACACTCTCAAGGAGGAACTGTGAAATGTACGAATATAGCCCAACTTGTACATGGGTTTAATTTTTTTCTGCTTTTGTTTTTAGAACTGATTATTTCATTCCATATAAGGTTTTGTGAAAAGATTATACTCTTATGATGTGTATACTAGATTGTAACGATTTCCTACCAAAGATTTCTGTGAATAAATATGTATTTTTGACAATACAATTCTGTTTTTATTAAATCATGGACACGATTACTGAAGAGAGGGGTGACCTAACGTCACGCGCAGAAATGTGTGTGAGGCTTGGAAGCATTGAGGTGTTAGGCAGCACTGTTTTTCATTATTGCATGAACAGTTGCAAAATGAGTAAAAAGGATGTGGTTTTTGGTAGATGTGTACCAGGTAAACGAAAAAAGGCACGAGGGGTTTCTTTCAAATTAGTTTATACATCATTTTTGGTGTATACATTTTTTTTTAAAGGGGGATATAAATTAGGGTCATAGGCGCACTTCTTAACTGCACTCAATTCAACCAGGTTTGGACAAGCAGACTGCAAACCAAGCAAGTAAGTAGGCATGGGATTGCTACAAATGTGAATATTTTAGGAAGTAGGAATGAAAAAAGATCACAGGTGCCAATGACATCCTTCGAAAATGTTTAAAATTTACAAACAAGGAAACATGTTTAGCTGCATTGTACACTTCGTGTAAGTCTCTGTTTAGGTAAACCACATGGAGGGCTAGTTTAGGTCTATCCCCCTCCCAAAATTTGTATTTATGCTTATAGATTCCTATTATTAAAGGATGGGGAGGGGTTAAAACTAGCCCAGAAAACAGAATATAGTAATGAACTGAATGTTTAAAAATAAGATACATTTGTAGCAAACCTAATGCTGCAAGCATCTGTTATAATCACTTTCTCCAAGTCTATTATCTCTCTCTTTCTCTGATCTTCCTTGCTTTAGCTTAACAGCTCTGACAGCATGAGCCAAGCCTGCATTGCATTGAGTAAAAGCTAGACTTTCCGTGTTACACTACAAATTTTTAAAATAAGATGAGCTCACAATGTTAATATGCTACTGCTCTTACCATCACAAGAAAACCTTCCATCAGGAAGAAACATTAAAATAAACATGCTAGATAACAATATGTGAAACAAATCAAAGAACAGCTATAATGTCAGAAATAAACATAAAATTTACAATAAAATTTCCATTATAAGACAGAAAACAACAATATTGCAAGTCAGAAATGAGATCTCAAGTGATCACACCTTCCTATCTCATCCACAGTTCAGGACAGGAAAATGTCTCTAGAATAGAAGAAAGAAGCATGAGAAATAAAATTGTTACTTACTAGAACAATATCTCCAAAAAAAAACAGAAGTCAGCAAATTTTTTGTTAGATTGTTAAAATAGTTTTCAAAAATTGCCGCCGCATCAAAGATAGGATTAGCTTAAGAACTAAATTGATAAGTATGTACATGACAGGTGTAACAAACTCTAGATTTTACAGGACAAAGCATTAAATCAAATCACACACGACACACTACATCATCGTACTAACAAGAATGCTGAAGTAAAATTATGTACACGAAAAAGGAACTGAGAAACAATCAAGACAACACTCTGACCCAGTGGTCCTATAATAGTACCCTGAGCAGTTTTGAGACACTCGAAATCAGTCAAACCACTTTACGAATTTGTTGGACAAAGAAGACGTGGTAGTGACATTTGGTAACAACTATATCCGAATACAATAAAATCTATAATTTATAAGTCATGATTTGTTTACAATCGTAATTTTGATTTTCAAAGGGGAAATTATGCACATTACATGTGCAAACACTGAGCAAATGCATTCAAACTATCTATACCTGTACAAATATATACAATGAGTGTGTTCGAGATGGTCATAAATTTGGCCAAAATATGATGGATACAATCTAATAGTATATAAAATATAAAGCCACAAAGCAACAACAGGACAACATTGATGTCCTTCTTTCAAGCTCTCTTCAACTGCTGAAGAAACAACTTTATTTAGGTGATAGTAAAAAACGAAATTTTAACAAAGAGAGAACTAAAAATAGATACTTTTTGGTATGAAAAAGCTTTACACAATAATAATAAGAGTATGTTTCTAATGAGATACTCTACTTTGTACTTCAGCACTCTACTCTCTATGAATATTTGAACATGAAAAGTGAAATCAGTGCTTGGACACACATTAGAACGATTTGAGATGGCTCTGAACGTCTTTCCTATTAACTTTGCCTCCACAAAATAATAGGCCAGAAAGTGAAACTTGTTTTGCTGGTTCCAATAATTTCCATACTGATTTTTAAACCTAAAAATCAGCCGGAAACAAACAATTGAAGTACTGATCTGATGACAGAAGAAAACAATCAAATCTCACTTACTTTGCAGTACTAATTTCAATTTCTTTTGTTTTGAATGACATCTACCACAAAGTTTTAGAAACTGAATTCTGGTACATTCCTGTTGTTCCTAATATTTCTCACAGGGGAGAGATTCAGATTAATTAATATGCACTCAGACTGCAGGCTATTGACTTAAATAATTACAGTCAATTTTTGTGATGTAAAAAATGTACAGTATTTGCTTTGAAAAGGGCAATGTAAGATATTTGAACAGCAAAAAATGTCAGTCTAGTTTCCATTTTTCACAAAAATGTCAAAAATATAAATATATATGTAAGTATTTGAATAAATATGTACTATTTATATATATATGCAGGCTGTAACAACAGTTTAACCATGTGAGAAGTGCTAAATTTGGTTTTGAATCTATCTTATCAGGCACATGACACACAGATGCATTGGCCCAATGCAATCATCATGACAAAAAGCACCGCACTGCTTACACATTATCATGGCTTTTAAGTTGCAAGCACAGTCATTCTTCTGACCGTTTGCCTCACCCATTGCTTCCTGTGGATGATCTTGCAGCCCCTGAGCAGTGTGGGCACTCCCCGAGCCCTGGCCTTGTGCTTGACCTAGTTCTTGACTCTGTGCAATCACCTGCGAAAAATGGAAGCTTTAAATCAGCATTTCTGTACACTTGAGGAAAAGAAGCATGCTTGGCTAAAGGAAATAAATTTTAAAATTTTACCTGCGGATAGGCGCCGGGAATGTGATCGGGTAAAGCCGGTACAGAGTAGCCCTCTGGTCCACATCTTGTTACTGCTTGAATACCTGGACTTGGCCCCTACGATTGCAAATTGCACACAAAGAAATGTAAGCAAAGGAAAGTAGGTAAGCTTTCATAGGAACTGGAAGAATCCAATTACCTGCTGTTGCCCATACACTTGCTGATGTGGCTGAGAACAATCTGCATCAACGCTTGACGGCCGGCCCCGAGCTAATCCAGCCACTCCGCTTACAGACTAAATGGTTAAAAAAAGGAGACACATGAGCAAATGGCAAGGCTTTCATGTTAAAAATAAATAGGAAAGTTAAAAAATTAGAAAAGAGGCTGTTACCTGATGGTTGGAAGGAGGTGCACTAGAGGCTCGAGGTGGTGCTCCACGCTTAAGAGATCGTTGATCAGTCCGTTGGAGAAGAATATACTGAGCCATTTGACCAACAGCAGGAGCTATGTTTTCACCTCCCTGTAATAAAATAACAATAGTAAACAAGATTGTTACAATTGTAAAATAAAAAAGAAGCAAAACATGCTCAACATCGAGCTCAACATAGCTAATAGACTGAAATTACCTCAGAAGATGGTGCCGATGGAGACTGGGGAAGCATAGCCATTGTAACAGGTATGCCTTGCTGTGAGGTGAAGACTTGTCTGAGCAAAACAGGGGGAGAGGGTTGTCTTGTCTTTCCTTGCTTTACTATTAAGGCAGGTCCAGCGCTAGGCACTATTGTAGGGGGAACATTCGGTGACACGTTTCTAGGTCCTCGAGATGATGTAACAGCTCCATACTGGGTTTGTGTAGAGCTGGCCTTTTCTTGTGGTATGTCACTTGATGATTTACCAGCAGTGTTTGCTAGCAGTGATGGAGGGGGTTTCAACTGAAACCTAAGCTGGTCTCGGTTTGGTGAGTTCTGGATCACAGCCTGACATATTTGGTAGCTTCTTTCCAAATTCACAGCTCCAGGTGGTGGTTTTGAGGAATTGTTCCGGCGGGTCTAGAAAGCAAAGACAGAGTGAGACAATCTGAGCTTTGCAAAATCAGAAGACTAGAACAAAGACAAACAATAAAAAACCGCTTTTAAAGTTACAAAATCATACCTTGCAAGAGAGGCCTGCATCTTTACTTCTTAGCTTTGGCCTAAATTGTGGAGCCACCTGCGATATTGCAGGAGAAGGGGTGGAAGGGGTGGCGATAGCTCGCAGCGGAGTATTGCCTGTCACAGCCAAGTATGGCACAGCAGGCACAGCACTCGAACTAACGATGTTACTGCCTGCAGTTCTAACAAGAAGCCCTGCATTTGGAGGAAGGAGTGGCGCAGCAACATTTGTTTTCATTATAGGAACGGCGCTTGACTGTGTCTGTTTAAATGAAAAAGAGGAGAGGAGGGATTTATCTTCATTCCAATTAACCAAATTAATAATAAAGGAAATTTAAAAAATGGACTAGTTGAAGTACTTACAATTGTTGAAGCCATAACATTGGACAAAGAAGAGTGGGCACTGCTGGAGCTAACTGTGCCCTCAGTACATGAAACAACATCTGGAGCAAGGGTAACTGAAATTATTTATAATCCATTAGGAATGCCAAAATTCTTATCACATACTTAGGTCCTACATGTTAAGCAAAAAGCCTACCTTCCAGCTCCAATTTTAGTTGTTCTGTTGAAACTTCTGGATACTGAACGGATGACATCCCAGGTGTCGACAAATTAATGTCAACTCCTCTTGAAGAGTGGTTCACATTAGCTTGGGCATGACTCGCACCACTGGCAGAAGCATTACTTCCAGATGCAAACATTTGTAAATTTGGGACAGGCAATGATGATGTAGGCGGGAATGTATTTCCACCTAATCGGGCTTGCAGTCCTTCCTCTTCTGATAATGCTGAAACACTGCTTTCTCCTATTCTATCCAGTGCACTCACAGCATTGGCCTGTGCCTCTAAATCTTCCAGAAGCTTCTCTGTGCTAGAGTCAACTCCATCCCAATCTGAGTCAATTTGAGGTGCACTTGTCGAGGATAAATCACTGTTATCTACATAGGCTTTTCCCAATGAGATTGCACAATCAGGAGATTCAGCATCACTATTGTCATCCATTGCTTCATTGTCATCATTATCATCACTCACTTCCCCTGTTTCGTCCTGCTCATGACCTTGGTCTTCTTCTGCCACTTGTTCTTCAACATCATCATCACCCTCTTCATCACCATCCTCATCATCTCCAACAAGGTCTTGCATTTCTATTTTCTTTGCTTGTGTGCTGGTCTCAAGTGGTTCATCTGGGCTCCCCCGCATTTCTGTTTGTAAGTTGTATTCTTCACAAACTTGGTTTGGTTCCAAGTAGTCATCATGACCTTTGGACAAACTTGTTGCTTGATACTCATCATTTTCATCTTCCACATCATCTTCGTCAACTTCACTAGCACCAGCTAACTCCTCAATTGTAACACAGTCACTGCCTATCTCCCCTTCTGCTTCAGACAAAACTTCTTCTACATTATTTTTAACAATTTCAACACAGAACTCACGAGAGTCTGCGCTGCTGCTACTGACATTAACAACATTGACCTTATTCTCATATTCATCATAATCAATTTTTACAAAATCTTTAAGGTCACATTCTTGTTTGTTTTCTTTTGACTCACCCTCGTCATCTTTAAATAAAGTGTCTCTTTCTTCATCTACACAAGAGGCACTAGTCTCACAAGGGTGATGTTTGTCACTTTCTGAACCCCTGACATTGTCTTCATCTACATTCTCACAGTTGTATTTATCCTCATCAAACATGTCATCAAAGTTTGAGAACAAATCCTTGCATTTGTCCTCAGACTTGGTCTCAGATTTAGTCTCAGACATATCAGTGGAACCTGAGCTGATATTTATCAGCACCTCATTTTCAGTGTGCCTATCTTTTGACACATCAAAATTTGCTTCTTCTAGGGAGGGAGTAGAAGAATGATCAGGACTATCCCCACGGTTTTCTGACTCCTTATCCGGTGTCCCAACTGCATCCATTTCCATACTTGATACGTCATCCATAGTTCTGTCTTCACTCAGAATTGATTCTTCTGCCTCAGCTTCCGTCTCGTCAAAAACTGAACTGACATCAGCTTCTACTGTAACCATTTCAATGAGGCTCGCACCATCATCAGCTTCAGCAGATTCATTCCATGTTTCAACTGAACACAAACACAAAAAAGAAATATTAGAAAACCAAGTTGTTTTAGTTACATTTTCTTTTAACAAGGTTTTAACAATAATTATGAAAACATACCAGCAGCTCTTGGTGATAGTTCTAGATCTGGGGTATTACTTTGACCAATATTAGATGAGCAAAGCTTTTTGCGTCCCTCCTCATCATTTTCTCCTATCTCTGTCTCTCTTGATCTTTTCTGAGAATGTGATTCAGGTTCTAAATAACAAGGTGCATCCTCTGATTTCATTTCATCAGACTCCAGCACCATTTCTACATCAGCTTCAATGGCTTCATCAAAACTGCTACCAAAGTCCTCATCAGGATCTTTTTCTATTACATCATGAATCCTAAATAACACAAAGAATAAACCAAGTCAAAATTTTAGAAAAATTGTACACAAGAAGCAGAAACAACAAAAATAAAGGATACTCACTCAGCTTTGTTCATGGATACTGTTTCAGTAAGGTTGGACTTTGGTGAATTTGAAAGTCCTGATCCCACAGAAACAGATAGGGATACTGGTGATGATGTGACTGATCCAGGTAGTTTTGCCTCAGTCGACTCAAAAGTTGCTTTGACAGGTGATACAGATGACAATGAAGAAGTCGTAACTGCTGCTGAAGATGGTGAAAGAGACACTTGAGATGTAGCAGGCACAGAGGAGGCTGCATGGTTTGAAGCGGTCTGTACAGGACCGGTAGAGGCATTTGCAACAACATCTCGGTAATTGGACACAGCGCGGGTGACAGCTCCGTTTGAGCGGAGGCGACGCGCTAGCTGGACTGGGTCAACGGGAGCTGGCGCTGGTGCCGGCTTTTCAGTAGTAGAAGAGACCGTGTTGGTATTCCGTAGCTTAATTGTAGTGCGGATGGGTGCTCGAGTGCCATGTTCTGTGCTATTTTCGGGTGGAGGTTGAGGTGGAGGTTGCGGTGCTGGCCGATGTCGCCATCCCCATATAGGTTCAAAATGTTTCAGCTGTAGAAAACCACAATGATTTAGAAGATCTAAATGGCAACAATCATTATGCAAGTAACAATATTGCAAGTTATTATTAACTTACCTTCCATGGATCCAAACGGTTCTTTTCTCTTTCAGCTTCAGCTCTTAATTTCTGCTGATTCTCACTAGTGAATTCTCCTTCAGCAAGTCTGTCTCTCCATTCTTGGCAACCACGAGCAAAAAATTCATTGTTGAGGCCTGATGACGCAATTTTGCTGTAAGGGAAAAAGCAGTGAATTGTTACAATCGTTAAATAAAACAATTAAGTGACATATCTCTTACAGCATCAAGCATCTTCAGTCAAGTTGTCAGAAACAATACCAACCTTAGTCCAACTGCACTGTGAACTCGATCAACCGATGGCAATAATTGAGTTAGTTTGTGTTGATAGAGGGGTGGTAACATACTAAGAGTGTGCTTGTTGAGAAGAGCCCGAAGATTGGTATTCACAAGAATTGAGTCTGGGGTTTCAAGGTCAATAAGCCCTTCCTCAGTCTGACGTAGCTGGGCTGCAGCAGATAATTTTTGGGTGCTTCGTTTTGTACTCTTCTTTAAGCCACGTTTGTTCCGCCTCATTCTAAAACCAGGGATTGATGCCAAGACCTCCCGCATTGTCGACTGATGAGGAGTGCCCTCTCCTGTTGATAAGATAATTTTTACTCAGATAAACTCAAATAAATTCATTGCAATCATTGAACCTGTCTAAAATTTTCAATGCATTTTTCTACTGTATTCAAAGTTAATAGTAATAAATTGTAATTCAAAGCAAACTGTTCAGTGTAAAATGTTTCCATACCGTAAAGTATATGTTGACTCTCTTCCACTTCATCTCCCTCATCAACATCTTCAGGTTCTTCAATTTCTTCGACATCCTCCTCCTCATGATCCAGATCCAGGCCTATATCAGGTAATACAACAACTTCCTCTTCTTCATTCAGCAGATCAATAACTTCAGGATCTCCTGTGTGTTTCTCAGTGTCACTAGACTGAACTTTTGGAGTGGATTGACTGAGGCTGCCATAAGGCTGCCGCTGCACTATGTGCTGGCTTTGAAGTGACCTAACATTTACTCCAGTAAGGGTGGCACCAGCTTGGTGGAGCCCTGATGCTATAGTTGTATTTTTACGACGTCTTTTGGCCTGTTGGCGTAATGCATGTTTGCTTCCGCTGGACCTCTTACTGTGAGGAATAACAGGTGATTGAGCCAGAGAACTTGATGCTTTTGAATGAGAAGCTGATAATACTGTGATAGGGAGTTGAGTTGGCACTCTCGAGTCCGTTGAAATGCTTGCATAAGTCTAAAATGCACAAAATAGATAAATTGGAACATTATAAACAATTTTATGAAGAATATATGTAGATTTCAATATAAGAAGAGTAAAAAGGAGGGGTACGTACTACATTTTCATCAGCATCACCCAGTGCAGGGGGATCAACTCCTTCCAACAGTGCATCCCCACCACCGCTGTCTGCAACTTCCATGTTGTCCTCAACAAACAGCAACTCAGACTCATCACGGCAAAATAGTATGATCTCCCTTACACATCGCTTGACATGTGTATCTGGGAAGCAAAACAATAATCATGCAAATTGAAAGATTACGAAGCCAATTGAAAAGTTAAGGCAAATCTAATAAATTTTAATGATCAGTGGCATTCAGATTGCATTTTAATAATTGAATTGGTCTCCCTCCGATTCTTTACTTAAGTAACTGCTTTTATTGTACAATGTGGTGCTCTGGGAGCAATCAATGCAGATGTAAACAACAAGTTAAAGAGCTAAGATGATAGAATATTACAAGGAAGATTTCAACAAAAGATAATATAATATCTTACAAAGAATAATAGACCAAAAAAAGCAAATAGCACCTTAGAAGACAAAATTCAAAATTGAATTAAATACACAAACAGTTGACAGAATGAGACAGATAGAGCAATCCCACAAAGCATCCTGCTTAATATACAACATTATTTTATTGAAACTTCGGTACTTAAGAAACAAATAACGACTAAACATTTATTCTGACAGCGTTTGCATTGAATAATTCATGTTAGAAAAGGGGAGAGGGTTTGTTATTTTCACGTAAATAGACAAAATTTGGGCGAACATTTAAGCGTCCCGACCCTAGCAGAAGTCAATACTTACAGTTTTAACATCTTCACCCCATTCCCCAGTCCCACACGTAAATAAAGTTGAAAATAATGGCGAGGTAAGCAACGCGTGCGTCAAAATTGCACGAAAATTAGAATAAAAGCGAACAAGATTTTCGGATTTTTTGACAAAGCCGTTTCTTTATGTCAACATAACCCGACATCAGCCTCTGCTGAAACCTGAAACTGAATTCTGAATGTACTCGGGTTTGGCCTTTCGTGGCAGCACCCAAGAAGAGGCTAGTATGAGAAATTTACTTACGTTCATTAAACCATAGTAAACCAAATAATTTATTTTGAAATGTGTTTATTTAAAAAATGCAAGTGAATTTGGTGTACGATATTATGTTGTGTGATCATTAAAATTTCTGCTCCGCCATAACAATGGCAAGAACCGCAGACTCGTGTGGTCGTCGAAGTTTGTCATACAAGCCTTTCTACGTCGATGTCAAACGTCAAAACAAAAACAAACAAACTGTCACTTCGGTTTCGCGTTCTTCGCGTTCAAACGTAGGTGTTGAGCAATTTTGAGGCAGTTTTGAGATTTGCTTGCCCTTATTGTAAAATATGCTCAGCCCCAGGACAATGTCACTACGAGCAAAAAACCGGGCTCTTCTAAAAGCCCTAGACCAGTACACTGACATAATCAGTGATCATACTTCTAGTGCGCACGGGTTAGTTTTCAAAGTAAATGGTATGCCTTCGTTACTAATTGACTTTCTAATCATAATTTTTCTTAACAATGATTTTGACAGGGTTAATTTTGAAGATGAAAAATTCGTTGGCAGTGCCGAAAGTCATCGTGCCCATCATGTAGCTCCTTCAGAATTCATTTCAAGTTTCCACAAACATCTTTCTGCAGAAGACTTGAGGCCGAGAAAGCCATTGCAGTGGCGAAACAGCTACATCCCACTTCATAAGTCTGAGACCTACATTAATTTTGATGGAAACAGACATGTCAATAGTCTGTTGTCAAACGTAGATGTTAAAGATAAAAATTATCCTCTGGTTCAAAATGAAAAATATATGAAAGTTTCTTCTCCATTAAGACCTTCTGCATTAGGCTCAACTGGTGACTTGCAAGCTATAGTTCATGAAATTATCTCAGAAATGAAAGAAGCAAAACCACTCAAGACAAGTCTCACCTTAACAAGAAAGGTACAGCAAAAGCTGTATGTGAGGTATTGCTGTTCAATGGTTTTGAATTAGTTCTAATGTCATTCTTTATTTAGAGCAGTGGAAGTAGAAATTCTTCAACATCACTCATGAAATCTGTTCGGGGGAAGTCCATCTCACTCCAACAACAACGTGCTGCCGAAGCCCAAATGCATGCTCCAACACACTCTCATTTACTGTCAAAGTGCTCCTGCACAGACTTTGGAAAGGTCAGAGCCAATCCAGACAGTAAATACGTTGTGCAGCTTTATGGCCACAAACAGCGTATACCGTTCAGGTCAGTTCCCTTTTTCAATTTCTTCTTCATCGATATGCTCAGTGAGTTTAGTGTTAGATTTTCAAATGATTGTCTATTACAGGTTAAAAAGACAGCGATACAGAGCTGATTCCGTTTCCAGACCCCCGAGAACAGTGAAATGGGCCGATACTGATCCCCCTATTATGTCGCCAACCAACGTAAAAGTAGGTGGTTTTACATCTCTAACACAACCACATGAAGACTTTAAGGTACAGATTCATGCCCATAAAAAGTATTTTAATTAATTGCGAAATGTTGCTAAATGTTTCCTGGTGTGAGTGTGTTTCTTCCTTTTTTGTCTTCTGTAGGCTGGTGGAGATTTTTCTGAGAATCATGAAAGAAACTCCGGGCAGGTTCATTCTGACTGTCGGGAATCCCAGAGCAGTTTTATAGATAGGGTTCGGACATTTCGCGAGTCTCATTGGGAAGATTGTCATGCTTCCCCAAGAGGAGCAACAACTTCTGAACATGACTGTATGGAAAAAAATTCCTCACTGACCAGTTTTATCAAATGTCAGAATTTTCATAGTGATTGTGTACCTTTTACAGGTGTCCACCACTATATCCTTAACAGGCGTCTATTTCTGGAGCCTGTGCACACAATAAATGGCGAAAGCAGCTGCCCTGTGTGCTCACTGACTTCAAATCAACCTGAACGACTACATGGCCACAACACAAGATTAAATTATCTTGCAAGCCAGCCGAGTAAAATCTTGGTCACTTTGCCAACAGTACTACTTGAAGATAGCCGTTCTCCCTCCAAATCAAGTGTGTAACTAATCATCATTTGTAATTGCTTTTCTTTGACATGACATGCGTTGAAAACTAGCTGTGAGTGTGCCTTTCCAGATGTAGATGCATCGGCCATCAGGCAAGAAATGCGAAAAAAAGAACGACGGAACCACGTCTAAGGTCAGCGCCCTGCTTCGAAAAAAAGGACGACGAGGTGCGACAACATGCCCGTGATAACTGGGACTCCTGCCGGCCGGTCTACCGGTCTGGTCTAGTGGCGTAGCGCTAAGTCGCGAAGCAAAGTAGGCAGTTCAGGATGCACGCACTGCCGAAGGCGGGGGGAGGGGGAGTCCGCTGATTGCTTATTCCGAGAGTCGCTTTCTTCGCTCTGTCTCTCTTGAAATCATAGGCGCCCTGCATAGGTGCAAGAGAGACAGAGAGACTTTCGGAATCAGCCTGCTGCGGTGCAGGCCAGTGGCGCGTGTGGTCCGGTTCCCCGACTAAGTGACCGCTCTTTTCTCATTGGTGTTCGTAGGGTCCTTGCAGCAAGCCGAGGGACTTCCCTCTTGACGCTGGGGCTGCTGCGGCGGGGGAATGCCCAGGAGGCCCTCGCCGAGGCTTGCCACCGTGCTTGTCACAGCGCGATGGGAAGACAAAGCGGTTCCGGGGAAAGGTTGCCTAGGTTACCGGCGGTTACCGGGCGCGGTGCGCTATCGCCCTGCTACGCCGCTACCGCCGCGGCACAGCAAGCTTAACGCTTCACTAACGCCGCCACGCCGCGGCGGCCGCGTTTTTTTTTTACGACCGAAACGCCCTTCCCCGCGCCTCGCCGCCACGCCGCCTCGGCCCACGCGAGCTGCACGACATGCAACCGGCCATTAAAAGAGAAGTCAGAGTGGGCATTACGCGGATGTGTACGCCATCGGCCATCGTGTCAAAGGGCAGGGCGGCGGGGCGGCCCGACCTCGCGGACTTGCAGCACCCGGTGTCGGCAGGGTTGCCTACTCCAGCCTGCCCGCCCTGCCCGCCGAGCGAACGCTGGGGCTGCAGAAGGTGTAGCCGGTCGTCCTGTCCGGGGAGTGCGTGGGCGTGCCTCGGGGCGTGCGGTGGAGGGCAGGGGCAGGCCTGGGGCTGCCTGGGACAGGGGGACAGGGCCACGGCTTGGCGCTGGGCGGGCTGCGCGGGCTGCGCGGTGCCGCCGTGCCGGTACTGGTTTCTTGTAATGACTCCGCATTGCGATTCGCACCGCGTCCCGAAGCCGAGGCGAAGGCGGACCGCGAACTCATTCTCGGCTGTCACTCGCGTCTAGTCTCTCGTACAAAGTAGTGCCGCGGGAAAGGGAGCGAACCGTATCATTCTGTCAACCAGACAGATTCATTCAATTATTTTGATGTAATTAGTTTTTACTGCCATATGTCTGTTTTTATCATTATTAAGTCTATCAGAAATGTATTATCACAGTGTTGAGATTTTAGTTAGTTTATGTGACAAGTGGGGGTGAAAAAAAAATGTGTTGAAAAGCCAAGCTTTGAAAATGTAATCACTTTGTTGCTTGTTTGCTTCTGTTTTACGTGTGTACTGTGAATTTTAAAAAATAATAAAATTTTCGAAGTCGTTAGTGAGGCGCATCTCTTTCCCGTTTCTCAGCGAAAATAACGACAGCAACAAGAATAATAACGCATTGGCAGTCAGGAACAGACGTGCAAGTGGTCCGTCGGGCCGAGGGAATGACTCCCGCGTGCGAATAGGAAGGAATGAGCTCGCCGGCCGGGAACCACCGGGGCCTGAGGCACACCATTACACTACGCCACCGCACTGGGAAGTCGGGAACGAAACCTAGAAGTTTAGGGACACCTAAACTCCTGCCCACGATCAACAAGAGGAGTTCGAGTGATCGGGTCAGGGGGTTCCCCAAATGCCTCGTTCGCATTTGGGACGGGACGCGCGTCACGCCGCCGTTTGGCTGTTTTCCTATCCGTCAAGTCGGACGTCGATACACCGCCGCGGGCACCGAGCGCAAGACGCCGACCCGGCCGGCACCGCCACCGGCACCGAAGCTGGTTCCTGGGTTTTCCCGGCCGGTCCCGCCGAGCCTACGGGTGGGCCCCGCCCGACCCCACCGACTTGCTCTGGTCGTGCACCGTGGCCCGGAGGATCGTGCCGGAGCATTCAGCCGCAGGGGCGCCCCCAGGACACACGCGTCACTGCCCGGACGGCGCGGACGTTGGCGGCAATTCAGCAAGCCGCCCGGCTTTGCCGCAAATCGGCCGGCGCTGCCAAGGCACTGCCAAGGCGCTGCAGCGCGGTGCGGGGAAGTCCCACCGCCGGGAGGGCCGGCAGCCCATCCGACGCGGCGGCCAGGCTGCTACTCCAGGCTCCTCCGGCCGGCTGGAGCGCACTGCAGGCTCGGCTCCTCGCGAGCCATTTTAAAACATTGGCGCGAAATGGCCCAGTGCAAAGCATGCGAAGCCATCGCGAGTTGCGCTTTGAATTTATAATTTTACAACCACGCTGTCGCAAGGCGCGCAAGGCTCGCGAGTGGCGATGCGGCGTGGCCGCGGGGCATGCGGCGAAAGGGCTCGCGACATGCCTGCAGGCGGAGGCGCCAAACGCCGTGCTGTACCGAGGCGGTCTCGTTCTCATTTGCTGCAGCGGGGCTCACAGGAAAGGTGGTCTGTCTCTCTCTCTCCTCCGGGGCGCGAATCTTGGAGAATCTCTGATGATTCGAGGGAAGGCCCTCTCACCCCGGCCGGCGTGAGAGCCTGCAAGGCCCGGACGCGACGCGACTTTGTTGGACGCAGGGAAGTTAGGCAGAGAAACTCAGCCGGCCTGCTCTGCCAGTGATGACGGCACGGGCCGAGGCTGCGAAGGTTAATGCTGTCTTTGTGTCGACTGCCTTTGCTTCTGTGGGGCTTTCACCAAAGTGTAACGCCGTTCACACTCGAGCGTTACGGCGCGTAGCTGCACGTGGCGGATCGCGGGGACGTCGCCTCCACTCTCTCGCCGAAGTGACGGTTACGTACTCGCGGGGTTGTCTCGTTATCGCGTCCACTGGGAAACGGCTTGGCGGTGGTCGTGATCGGGCCGAGAGTCGTTTTCGTCGCTGTCTCTCTCGCGCCCAAACGGGACGCCCCATGAGTGCGAGAGAGAGGGAGCCAGTCCGCGGCACCACCACGCCGCGCGGTGGCCGGGGGGCCGGGCTTCCCGCCGCGGACGGCATCCTTTATTTATCACGCTGCGCCGAGTGCGGTGCAGCGCGGGCAGCGCGGGGTTTCACGGCCAGGGCCGGGCGGCACGCCGCGGCACGCCGTCGACGCGTTTCGTTTTATTATCGGCTCGTTTCCACCACCCGGCGGGCCGTGGCACGGCTGCAGCTCCATCGTCTTGGCGTTGAGCGGGACAGCGTACAACGGACAGCCCCGCGGCCAACCCGGCCGATAGGCCGGCCCGGCCTCCTCGCCGTACTCTAGCGGCCAGTGGCCGCGGCTTTCGGGCGGACGCGGCGTGTCCCAGAGGATAAAGCCGCCGACTGGAGGCACTACTTCTTGAAGGCGGCCAGATTACTTTCCGGTTTGCTGACGTCCGCGCGCTGGAGATGCCGCCCAAACCTGTCCCGGTGCAGCGGGGCCCCGCCGACTGCACTCGCCGACATGCAAATGTGACACGGCTTTCGGCGCATCGCGGCGCATCGCGCTGATTGCCGGCGGCAGGGTTTATTGGCTCGCAGGGCTTGCGGCATGCCGGGGACGGCCGGGGACGTCATCAACGTCGTCCTTGCGCACCGCGGCCCGCCGCAGCCCCGCCGGGTCACGCCAGCCTAGCGGCAGCCTAGCGCCAGCCCCGGCCGTACCCCTTGCGGCCCCCGCCTCGCGATTTGAACGTAATGATGCGACCGGCGAATGGCGGCAGCCCTGCCTGCCCGCTGGAGCGAGGTCGCGGCGTCGCCAAGCAGCCCGGGTCGCGATTGGAATTTAACAGCCAGATGCGCCAGGGCTGGGTGGGAAAGGCGAGGCGGCGCTCCCCTGCGGCATTCACGGAAATAAAAGGATGAGCAACGCAGTTTTTTTAAGGAACAAATGATAACAGGGCGAGAGTCCTCATCGGAAACAGGCGGCCTTTATCCGCAGGAAAGCCGGGAGCAAGTTCACATTGCCCCCACCGCCCCTGGTCAGATCAGTGAATTCTTCAACTGTCTTCAACTGAGATGAACTTGGTGGAACGCGTGCTCCTGCCAGAGTGTACCATAACAATTGGCACGTCCGTGCCGTGGCGCTGCGGCGCGCCGCGGGGTGCGCGATGCCCCGGGACCCAGGCCTGCCCAGGCCCCACGGCGGCCCCGCAGGGCCCCACTTCCTCCCACGAGCTTAAAGTGTTGTTTCGCGGCGCGGCCCGCCAGTCCAGCCCCAGCAGCCGCGCCGCGCGGACCACGGCGTCTTCGCGAAGTAGTGCCTGACAGCGAGTGCCGCCGCGCCGAGCCAGCCGAGCCAAGGCGCTGGGGGACGCGAACGTGTCCGTCACCCTCCTCCCCTGCGCCCCGCGGTCACGCTCAGACACCGCGGAGCGTGTGTGTGTGCGTGCGTGTGTGTGTGTGTGTGCGTGAGCACGGTGCGGCGTGCTCCCATTCGTGCGCGTGCGTGCGCGAACCTCTGTGAGTGTGTGTGTGACGTGCGCGCCCTAGGACAAGTCCCGCGGCCGACAAGGTGAGTGCTCGCGAGCAGAGGATCACGAAAGGAAAGGAGAGGTCTCCGAACGCGACAGGTCAAAGCGCCAGCGCGAAAAAAAATTTCAAGTACAATTTTTAAGAACATTGCTTGCGATTTTTGTTTCGTTTTTGCTTTTATGCTCGAAGGGCCGCTGACGGCTGTTGGAAAACAAAGTCCCCCCGACGGCCCGGGACGGGAGGCCACATCGCGGGGCGCCCTGCCCCTTTCCCGGCGAGGCAAACTCCGTCCTTGTTTCGATTGTTTCGGGATCATTATGACCATTACCTACCCCGGGGCGTACGGTGGCTTTGTTCGCGTCCAGCGTGCAGGTCTCCATAAGGGCGCTGGCCATCGGCTCCAGCCGCTGCCGGCTGCCGCCGCCGGCCTCGCCGTTATGCAACCCGCAACACCCGCGCCACGCACCACTAATAAACGGGAAAAACTTTTAAACTCGCGCGCGGGAACCTGCGACTAAGGGAACCCGGACTAGATTCCCGTTGTTGCACCTCGTGCGCCGCGGTACGGCGCGGCGGCGGGGGGGGCGTGCCAGTGCAGGCCCGGCCGGTGCAGTGCAGCAGCGCAGTGACATTCGAGCCGCAACACTTTTTCCCCTCCAGCAGAACGTGATTTTAATACAATTTATGCTCGGGGTGCGGGCGGGGGGGCGGCGCGCGCTTACGGCACAGCGAGGCCTGGCCCGGGCTAAAGGCTAGGCCACTTAGGCCGGCAGCACGTCGACGGGGAGGCCGCGGAGTGGAGCGGGGCGGTGCACTGGCTGCACTGGCTGCAGTGACTGCCCCGAAAGTGGCAGAAGCGCTTGCAAGGACGACGCCGTGACGACACCGCGCTGCCTGCTTTGCGATGGCGATGACGAAGAGGCTGTTGGCCGCGGACCGCCGCTGGCGAAGGGCGCCGCTGGTGCCGCGGGCCGCTCGCTGGACATGGACTGCTCCCGCTCCGTCTCTCTCGCACCTAAGCGGAACGGCCCATGAGCGCGAGAGAGACAGAGCGTCGAAAGCGCCGGCGATCTGCTTCCTGCGGGCTAATCTCCGCGTCGCGGCGTCGCGCGGCCAAACCTGGAAGGCAGGGTGCCGTGCCGTTTGCCGCTCCCTCTCGCCGCTATTCAATGCAAATCCGGGGTCCAGGTGAGAGGGCATCCACTGCAAGGGTCCTGAGGTGGCGGCCTGGCGGCGCCGCGTCCGCGATGCGCGCCCCGGCGCCACATAGAGTCCGTCCCGCCCGTCCACCGCGAGGCGAGGCCCTATCGGCGCTAGTTCGTCGACGGGGACCTTCCCCCGAGACGCCCCTCCCGCACGGCCTCTTATCGTGCTGCCGCGCGGTCCGCTCGTCGTCGGCGTGCGTCACTTGCGACCGCGCGTTCTTTTGGCGGTGTACCCGGCCTGCCCGGCCCCCGGCCACGAGGTGCGATCCTCTCTGGAACGAGTTTGCGCTCTGGCAGGTCAACGTCTGCCGGACGGTTGTTGACACTGAACCGACACTGGACACTGACGCCTCGGTGGCCGCGACGCCGTGCGAGGTAGGCGACGACGGCGACGACGATTGTGGCGGCGGGGGTGGTCGTCGTGGCAGCGTTCCGTGACTGGCAGACCAAGGATGGTGATGATTTCGCAAAACGAGTGCCGGCGTCGACGTGTGGGCGGGGGCGGCGGGGGCGGCGGGCCGAAGGTGACTTTGGGGCAGTGCTCGGCGGTGCGCCGCCTCGTCCGTCATGCCCCGTGAAATGGAGTGACTATCCGGGTCTCGCGCCGCAATCGGCAATCGTGCGGAGGCATCTCAAGGACGAGGCGAGGCACCCCGAGGACGCGGCCCGGCGGCCTGGCGGCCCGACGTTTCCACTCGGGTGTTACACGTATGTTTTAATCTCGGCGGCGAAATCGATAATTGCTCGGCGTTTGCCCCGCCCGGCCCCGGGGCTCGGCCCAGGCCTCGGGGGAATCTTAACAAGAACAGCGCCACCGGCCTCCGGCATTTTTACGACGCGCGGCAGCAGATTCGTTGCACCGCGCGCTCCGCCGCCGAGCTGCATTGAGAGGGCAGAGCGAAAAAGACGAAAAAAATGTGCTGCTGCAAAAGGCGATGGAATGCAGGCCCGGCGTCGGAGCGCCCGCCAAGTGGCGGGTAGGCCGTCCCGCAGCGCAGGCCCGCTCGGCGGGGCGGCCCGCCCTCGACTCGGCGGGCGCTCCGTCTCGCTCGCACTGCTCGCACTCGCGGGGCGTCCCGTGCCGTCGGGGTGCGAGAGAGACAGAGCGAGATCTTGGCCTCAGCAGTGTCGGAGTGAGTGCGGAATCGTACCGAAACGCGGCGTGGCGGCGAACCACCCTAGCCTGGGCCTGGGCCTGGGGAACTAGGTCGTCGTCGACCCTGGCGTTGCGCGTTAGGGGCGTGGCAGCGTTTCGGCGGCCGGATTTGATTTTTACGCTCCACACCCACTCACACAGGCGCACACATTTATCACACCAGTTTTGGAGTTAGCCTCGGCCGCCCCGCCCGGCTAGGTGCGGACCGAGGAGTAAGTCGGCCGACCCCAGGAAGCGGTCCTGGAGGTCCTGGAGGAAGGGCGGGACCGGGACACGCAGCTCCGCCAGCTCCACGCTGATCCCTGCTCCAATCCCGTTCCGAGGCGCAGACTCGCGGACTCGCGGACAGCCCGACGAGGTGGCCGAAAACAAAGGCCGCAGCGCCGATGAGAAAGACAGAGACAGACAGGCATATCGCGCCATCGCCCTGTGGGCTGGGCTTTTCCGTCGGGCGTTTGCTTCGACTCGGACAGGGAGATTAATTTCAGTGCCACTCGGCTCCACCGATTCCAACGTGGAAAATTGGGCGCGCGGATGTGAATGTGAATCTGAATGCGAGCCATTGCAGTGCGGTGTCCCAGGAAACGGCGAGACGGCGCGCGGGGAAGGCCGAAACGGCGATTCGGATTCAAATTGGACGCCAGACGTGGCGTGTGTCATTACAGCCTTCATTAGCACGCGGAAGACGCTCCCGGTGCTCTGCTTGGCTCGCTCGGATTGCTTCGGGAATGCTAAACTTTTAATTGACATCGCAGTACTTACTTTGTCGCATAATCCCACGGGCATCAAACTTACGAGCTGTTCTCGTTTTGCGTCCGACATTACAAAGCCAAATCCAGCACCCGCGAGGGGGGGGGGAGGGTTAATTCTCATCTTTTCGTGAATCGCAAAATGCAAAACACACCGGAAAAGGGGAAAGCCGACCAAAAAAAAAGGAAGACGCTAAACAAAAAGAGCAGACAGGCGTGCTTTGCCGTGCGGGTGTGATTATGCCGTGGGCCCGAGAAGACGAAAAGCGCGGTGGCGGTTGGGGTCGCGGCGTGCACTCACACCGTGCGTGCGCGTGCGTGCGTGCGATCCCGACGCGCTCAGGCCCCACGGCGGCACGCCACGCCGCGAGACGCAAAACTAATTGGATCTGATTGTTCCCGCAGCAGCAGCAGCAGCCTCCAGCAACCGATAGTAAATTTCTGGCCGTTAGTTTTGTTTCTTTTTTTTCCGTTCGGTTGCCCAGACTGGGCAGCTAGTCGTGCGGTATGAATGGCGGCATGGGAACGGCCCGGCCGACGCATCCATTGCTGCCACTACGGCAACAATAAAAAAGCAACAACAACAACAACAGTCTTGCGTGACGGTGCGATCATTCACAAGTACAGCGGCGCGCCGCGTTCTCACTTATATCAGACGGCCAGTTACGCCAAGTTAACAACCTTTTTTATGTTTTTGTTTGTAAGGGCTTGTTTTTGTTTTCTTATGTAGTTGACGGGATTCGTGTCTAGATAGGCACCGAGGCATGCTCGTTGTTTCGCGGTGTGTACACTGGCAGACCAGATCGCAGTTTTATTTGCTCTATTTTTTTTTTAATTTTAAACGTTGTGGGGTGTTTTTTTTTTCGGATGTCGAGGGATAGTACTCCAAGGCTGTGAGACCACACGGCAGTGACAAGGGCGCGCCTGCCGCCGAGCCGAACTTTCCCACGCTACGGAAATTGAAAAGAAAATCAGAAAAGGCTATCTTCTCATTGAGAGCGGCGCCGCGCCGGTCTTGAAAGGAAGGGCGGCATGGGCGCGCTCTCTAGGTCAGCGCAATGCAACCCCCGGTTCCCCCGGTGCTCTGGTCCCGGTTCGTGGCAGTGTAGGCGTCTGCGTGGGCGAGGCGCGAGGCCGCCGGGGATCGCTGGCTGTTCGGGGGGACCGCGGCCGCGGACGCCGCAGACACCCGGGCGGGCCGAACTCAGGGTGGTGATCTGCAACACGATTGGCGTGGAGACAAAAGCCGCGTCGAGACGCCGAACCGAACAAGGCGAAGGCCAGGCCGCGGGCACCTCGGGCCAGGCCCGCAAGGCCCTGCCCCAGGCCCCGGGCCTCTGAGCTGGACGGGGCGTGGCCGCGCCACCGCGAGAGGCGGCCAAGCTGCCGTGACCGCGCCGCGGCCCGCCCTGGAGGGAAAGCAACAAGCGACAGGGGTGTGGACGACGCCGCCGACGACGACGGCAAGGACACCTCCATCTCCACCGCCGCCCCCTCTCGCTCCCCGCCCCGCCCCGCCGGAGTGCGTGTGCGTGCCCCTCTTTTTCTGCGGCCAGTCGCCCTGCTCGCGATGACCCTGCCTTCGCTCGACGGGCGTCCTCCGCGCTGTCAACTACACTGGCGCGCAGCTCATCACCCGCCGCCCCTTCGCCTGCTTCGCCCCGACTCGGGCCGCCGAGGGCCGCGCTGGAGGAGCGCAAGTAGTGCACCGTGTCGGTGGCCGCGTGGCCGACGGTTGCATCACGGTGGACGGGGCGCGCGGTTGGAAGCGCGGCGAGAGGATTAGTTCCGTCGTCCGTCCGTCGGGCCGTGTGCTGTTGGCGCGCCATGGCGGTATCGAGTCGCGTTGCGGCCCAGACCCTTCATCGCTCTTCATTCGACCGCTCTATTTCTTTTCTTTTCGGCGAGGCCGGACTTTCTTCGCCTGTGA